CAATTTCTCACGTCTGGTTTTGACTTCGCTTTTGTATATAATAAATATTACAACGAACAAGAAAGTCGGACAAACGGTCCGACGATCACTTGGTTTCTGTACCGTATAATCTATGTCCTTTTAGGTGGACAAGTCCTTTTAGGTGGACAAGTCCTTTTAGGTTCCTGTATATATTTATATTTTTGAGGCTTGCCCCAACAACAAGTTCAACAGGTTTACCTTTCGCGCGACTACACTCTCCTTATAATTAATATAAACTCCTTCTCTTAATACAATATCAATGTTTAGAAGGTTTATTGCGCGCGCAATTGATGTGGTGGTCGGATGACCATCAATGTCATTCTACACTTGTCCAATGGAAGAAACTCAACAACTGGGTCCTCTGCGCTTTCGTGGACTCCCTGCTTTGAGAACCGGTCCCAATAAGCCGCCAAACAAGTACCGCAACGTACACGTCTCCTACAAGATGAAGCAAAGCGTCATTGACAGCTTCGACGAGGTCGGCATGGCAGCCACACTTGCCAAGCACTTTCCACAACTCAGTGGAACCCGACTCAATACGACAAGAAAGAAGGTGTATGGGTGGCTCAATCATCGTGCTCACATAGGGGTTAAGGCTACTAATCGACGAACTTCTAACCATTTGTGCTCGCGTGACTTGGGCATGGCAATGACACTCCCCAGGGAGTACGAAGAACAACTTGCTCGTTGGGTCAACTCCATGCGTCAAGACGGCGTTCCAGTGACACCGCAGATGATCCAAATCATGGCGTTGGAGACCGCCATTGACGCCGGCCTGGATGAAGCCAGCTTCGCCGTGTGGATTCAAAAGACGCTTCAAGCTGTCGTGGCGTGCCCGCACCAGGTCCGACCAAGACACGTAAGGGGACGGTGACGCAGCGTTAGCCAAGTTCTCTGCGCGGGTTGCCGAGTTGGTCCGTGAGCACAGCATCGGCGTCATCTACAACGCCGACCAAACGGGTGTGAACTACGAATATCTACCGACCAAGGCTTTGAACGTACGGGGCGACCATACCGTGTGGATCAAGTGCGGCGGGAAGATGAAAGACCGCGCAACACCCATGGTGATGGCGGACTCGACAGGGAAGAAGCACCCGCTCTTCTTGGTGTTAAAGACGGCCGCGTCGACGATCAATGCTGTTGTCCAAGAAAACCTGACGCAGCGGCATGGCTTCGGCAAGCAAGTGTGGAAGGACGTCCAGCCACTCCAAGATCGCTTTGGATGCATCTACGGGAATCCAACTGCATGGTGGAACTCAACCATCAGCATGGACTTCCTACGGTACCACTTTGCCGGGCGCCCAGACCGCGCGACCAAGAAGGTTCTTCTGCTGTGGGACGATTTCTCCGCCCACTTTACCGACGAAGTGGTGGCGGTCGCGACGGAGCTGAACGTCCTCTTGAAGAAGATCCCGCCACGGTTCACAGGGATTTGCCAGCCAGCAGATGTCGCTTGGATGAGACCTATGAAGGCCCAGCTGCGAAAAATGTGGATTGACAGCATTCGCCGGCAAGTGCAGAACAGCAAGGCTCAGAAGACGACGTTCAAGTTGCAAGCGCCGAAGCGTCCAACACTGGTACGATGGATTACTGACTCGTGGACTGGGTTGCCAGAGTCTATTATTATGAATGGCTTTGGGAAGTACAAGCTGGTCTCTCAGGTCACAGAAGCCGTCGAAAGCGAGGAAGAGTTTGTATTTCCGGAGATGCTGTCCGACCTTGTATCGATATCTGCTGTGGACGAAACGATTGATCCAACTGATGACATCGATGAATATGATCAATATTCCGATCCCACTTAGTATTTGTATGCTCTAATTTTAGCCAACCAATGGCCTCAGTTTCCTCCTTCTACCAATCATATGGAACTAAAAACGAATCCTGTATAATTTTGACCAATAAACATGAATTAGGGTTAGGGGTACTGCTATTGTGTCGGTATTACACCTTGCGTACAAACTAGTAGTGATCGAGTATTTGACTGGAAATGATTCACATTCCGACATTCAGGACTTTGTCTTGTTTTCACACAACAACAACCTAAATTACCAATCCGTAGTACTTCGAAGTATACAGTATACCTTAACAGTAAGTGTAACTGGTACCCCACCATCCAATTACCTGCAGCATCATGAGCCTACGCGACCTTGTGCCTGCGAAGACTGCCAGGGCTCGCGTCAACGCACTCAATGCGTTTAAACGGTGGGTGGCCTCCGAAAACGTCCCATTCGAGCATCTGTTGGCTTGCATTGCCCAGGATGCGACGGCATCGGTGTTTGAGGCAGCAATGGATAAGTATGGTATCCACCTAGCCTTTAACGAAGGCAGTCGCGGCCGTAAGTTGGCAAAGTCTACTGTAATGCAGTACTACAGACAGACCAAGAACTGGCTGCTGGAGAAAAATCCATCACTACGCGTGTCACTCGACGAACGACTGCAAAAGATGGCGCGCACGCTTGAGCGTCATTGTTTGAAGCGTGAACATGGTGGCGTTGTGAAGAAAGCCGAGGCTTGCACGAAGCAAGACTTGTGTGTGCTTGTTAAGTGGCTGCATAACAACGCTCAGAGTTCAAAGGATTATCAAGATGCTGCTATGCTAGTCCTGTTGTGGCATTGCTTTGGTCGTGCTTCAGACCTTTCCCTTGTCCAACGCCAACACCTCGCTGTGTCTTCGGGGTCTGTAGTTACGATTGGTTTCGTGCGCACGAAGACATCCGAGGAGCAGCGCCTTGCGCTCTATCCTGACCAAAACCCATACACGTGTCCGCTATTATCCATCGCATTAGCCCTACTTACTCAAGCTACCCCGTCAGTCGCTATGTTGTCGAACCTTCCTCAAGTTCTGACAGCTGAAGCGATCACCATCGGACCTGGAACGCCACTGCTCTCCCTGCTCGATCCTTCGGTGGCGTTGACGTCGTGCACTGAAGACGCGCCACAAGCGGCGAATGTCGCGGCCGATCCGGGTATTCATGCCTACGTGAATCGACTGTTAAAGAGGATTGCCATACCGTCGGGGCTAACGCACGAACTGACCTCACACAGCTTTCGACGCGGAGGTGCCCAGCATCCCAATGGCCACAGCGGTTTGAGTGCGCAATGGATCTTTGATCGTGGAGCGTGGAACCTATCATCGACAAACAAGGCTTTCGCGTATATTTTCAACACATCAGCAGAAGTCCAGAAGATTGCAAAGATGTTGAGCGGCTGGACTCCCACCAGCAATGTTGTCGTACCTGACCTTTCACCACTCGATCCGGCATCCCGCATTGCTGTCGCTCGTGTCCAAGCCGTGGCCTTCCAAAACTGTATTGGGCTGGCAAACCCCAACTTGTTGATCAAGCCGGCGGTGCTAGACATATTGATGACGACGTTGTTGTGGCACTTACCGTTCTTGATGCAGACGTGTCCCCATGGCCCTGCTGTGGCGAGGCTTGCGCAAGCGGCAAACGCCGCTGGTTTCATCGTTGGAAGTATTATGGCGAGGGCAGCATCCATTGAGCGCCCGCACGAAGCCGTGGTCGAAACACCGCACCAAGGGCTTAGCACACGTGCGAACGACACCATTGCGCAGCAACAAGCCGTGATCCACGAACTAGTTGCCATCAACAAGCCGTGATCCACGAACTAGTTGCCATCAACAAGGCACTTGGCCTACGTGTCGCTGCCGTTGAAGCACACTTCGGTATTGGTGCGGCTCCAACACCTCCCATCGCCATGCCATCGCACGAAGCCGAAGTCACTGCCCCATCGAAACGCCACAAGGCAGCCGCCACGTCCTTGACAGACTTGTGGTTCGAGTGGTACGCTCGAGACCCCCCCATGTGGCAGGTAGGCGCAGACCGCAAGAAGAAATCCGAGGCGAAGTTGGTCGTTGGCTTCATGAAGCTTCTCCTCCACGATGGTCTTGAGTTGGATCCCAATGCACCATCCTATCGCGACGATGTCTTGCGCTTCGGATCGCTCGCCGACCAACGCGTCTTGAGTTTCGTACACGACATTGCGCCAAATGTTCGCAGCAGTGGGTCGGTACTGCGTGTCCTGCGTGAGCAACACCGCATCGGGGCACTCAATACAATCATTGGGTTGTTCAATGCAAAAGTCGCAAAAGGTGGAATCAAAGACCGACTCCAATTCAACATATAGCCACCATCTTAGTAGTCGACAACATGTAATACATAACAATGACTGGACTTGAACCAGCACCTCTAGTGTTGCCACTTGTGCTCTCCCTGAGCTACATCGTCGGAAGGTCAAATCGGGCAAACACAAACATACCATTCATACAACATCATAACTCATCATGAACACAAGTATAAAGAACCGGGGATGACATGGTTTCACCATGTCGTGGAAACGGAGCGTTCCTGAAGTGGTCACGGGTCAGGCATCTCGTGGACACCACTCGAACATTGTATCGGCACGGCATTGGACACGGAAATGGGGGACATGGCGCAGATATCGACACGGGCTGGTCATGGATAGGCACTAGGTGGACAAGCATCGGAGCAGACACTTCGTGGACAGGCACTGGACGCACATGACGTAGCGATGGGTGGACATCGGGCTCACGGCGTGGACATGAGGTCAACGCATAGGAGTTATACATGGTAAAACAAGTGTATACATTTCCAAATAACATATATACAGTAGTAGTTAGTGTAAAAACGATGACTGGAATTGAACCAGTTCCACTGACAACAAAGTCAGTACTCTCCATGAGCCACATCGTTGACTATAAGCCATCCAGGTATACCATATGAGCGGAAAGCTACAGCATAGGCAGAGTTATGAGCTCCCAACCAAACTGTGTGTGCCAATACTCTCATCATTACGCTAACAACCTCCCCAGAGATGGGACGCGGAGCAACAAAGGCCCGAAGGAAGTATAAACACTCAAGGGGGTTAGCAACAAACCATTTCCGCAGCACGAAACCGCTAGATAAGTCGCAACCCTGACTGCCCCCAAGAGCATCCCGCATAATGTATACACCACTAGACCCAGACGGCTTTCACATCACAGTAACTACTACTACTAACAACATGGTGATAATGCAAATCATGGTAAACAATATCATTACGCATCATACACATTTAAGAACATAAATGAAAGTCGATGTGGGCAAGCCGTGGGCAGGACGTAGCGCGTACATCTGGGTCGGCGGTGCGCACGGACAGTGGGAGTGGGCAGGGACGGGCTGGATATGTGGCGGATGTTGTACAGGGGCGTGGATCGGTGGCGTCGGCTGGACGTCCAGTGGACACGACACTTCAAAATGCAAAGTGAGGGAAACCAACCAAAACTATATCCGGATACATAATCTCCTCAAAAGTGATTGTATTAAGTTTGAGAGGTATTACTTTGCGGTGCATGCTCACTTTTCAATTTGCCCGCAAGAGCAGAGTGGTCTCCGGGTGCCAAACCCAATGAAAATCATTTTTGTTGTTTTTCTCGGCCCACAGGCCTCTATAGCCAAAACTGCACACAGAAAAACTCACGTTGGTATCGGTCCATTCACCCAATAAGCGGTGCTGGTAACCCCATCCCTCGTAGCCAGCCAATCATTGAGTGATCGAGCCCTATCCCTCGAAGAAAGTACATGCAATATCCAGATAAAATATTACTTCATGTTTGTATTGAACGCAACTATTTAAAATGAACGTGTCAGCCCTTATTCCACGACGCTTCCTTAGGAACCAGGCATATGTAACGACTTTTCCAATATTAGCCAATGAAATCGTTGTCGGAATGGGTGTCGGATTCAATATCTTGTCGGAATATTCATGCTATCGACAATAGTGTTCAACTTCTCTAAAAATAAGTACCTGGTTCTTGTATTGGGATAAGTCAGAATTATAACTGTCAGACTTGAGGTACCTGTGCTATTTAATAAATAGATAAACCTCTATATGAATCGGGTGTCCATGTGTGATGTGCTTGTATTAAGATTTTGTATACCTAAAAGGACATATTTGTCCAAGAGCACAAACGTCGTGTGGTTGTGATATATCACCCACCTAAAAGGACATAGATTATACGGTTAATCCTGTCC